CGCGCGAGACACCACAAGCCAAGGAAATCTTTCTTGTTTGCGGATCATGCATTCGCTAAATTCCTAGGTTATTATTATAGTGTCCACCAACCATCCAACCAACCAACCAACCAACCAACCAACCAAGGCAACTGCTCAGCGCCAGCACGTAGCAAACACCTAGGGATGACATCACTGCATATGGCTTTGCAGGGATTATTTATCCGTTCTAGGAGCCTCCAAGGAGCTTGACGTCATCTGAGGTGGTTGACTGCGAGGTCAGCATAGAGTCTTGCGGCTGTGCACCAACACGAATGTGAAGCTGTGCTGGACGGGTCACGTACAATGCTGTGGTAGGCGTTGGAGACTTCTGTGATGTCGCACGTAACGTCGGCTAATGCCAATCAACAAAGCTCGGTTGGACTTCGGTTCAGCAGTGGTACTGCGGTGGTACACAAACGTCAAGTACACACGGATTGCGTGCGACCTAACCTCCCTAGTGGTCCTTAGCCTTGACTGTAGGGAGCCACAGGGCCGGCAAGGAACACATCACGCTAGCTGTCTTTGAAGGTACGGGACCGGACAAGTAGAAAAGAGAATCCTGTCAGCCTTTCCATTCTTTTGGTTGGTATAGTCAAGTATCTTACTGGTCTCGTCATTGTCCAGAGCAATTAGCTGTTGCGCTGATTCGAATTGTCCTTCAACTGCTTGGTCAAGACTTAGTATCATTCGAGAAAACCACCATGTCATGACCTGGTGTAGCTGAATTAAGCGCGGCAAAGCCACGCAAAGATGTAGCATAAATACCAAGGCGCGACAAAAATCTTTCACTTCGCTTTGCATTTGAGTTAGTGGTGAGAGAGAGAGTTTTTCTCTTGGGTGGTTCCATATTCCGTCACACAGCAGCAGCCTTTGCGAACCCTCCGGAGCGTGATTTGAAGATAGGTTTTGAAACGTGACGTGCTGCAGTTCCCTTCTGCTCCCGTTGGAGGGAAAGTATTTCTGAGGAGTCAATAACGACCAGGCAATGTCAGCAGGAATACAAGCAGTAGAAGTGATGGCAACGGAAGATCCGCGCACAGTGGATAAGTCCTTCTTCGAGGAATATTTCACAAAGTTGAGCAAGAACTTTGTAGACCCTGTTAAGTTGGCACGAGCGAAGTCTATATGCCACTTCGGAACAACTATTACTATCGCAACTACTGATGATGTGGAGGAAATGGAGGTTCCAGGCTACTGCATTTATGCTACAGAAAAAAGACGTGTCATCAAGGTGGAAACAGGAAGAGCTGGAACTACAAGCGTGCTGAAACTACGCAAGATTTATCCTGGTATTGAAGAAAGGTACAAAAGGAAGTTGTTGTATAAAGAACTGTTAATAACCCAGTATGTACAGAGATGCGAGGAAGAAATTCGACAGAACAAGCGAGATCGGTTCATTGCAACCTGCAAGCCTTATTGGTACATGTTCAATAGCTACCATGGTTTTGAACTAGAATATTTTCCAGAAGGCTCACTAGCGCAGATGCCCAGCACTCTACTGCATGATAATGAGCGACTGGGTTTACTGCGGGATGCTGCTCAAGGTCTTCAATTCCTCAACTCTCTGGGTATTATGCATTCTGACGTAAAGACTTCAAACTTCTGCGTTAGCATGCAAGCCAACGGTACAAGGATCGCGAAGTTGATCGATCTAGGTTCTGCTAAATTTGAAGGCCAGTTCATAAATAGGTGCCATATGGATGATACCTCTGCAAATAGATCGCCTGAACTCTTCCCACGCCTGGACCTAGCCCACACAGGACACGATTGGGTGATGGTAAATCCATCAGCAGACTCCTGGAGGTTTGGACTGTGCATTCTAGAAGTAATGACTCGGCGAAGCTTCCACTCATTATGGAGTGAAGCTGTACAGCAAGACGAATTGTACAAGGAGTTTATATTGGTGAATGGCCTTATGAAGAGCCGTTCATATATTGAGCCTCTCAAATTCATAGGCTTGTCTACTTCTAGCCTGCCCCATTGTGCGAACAAGCTGATTTTTTATTTGATACGGCACAAAGCAGCTGAACGTGTGAACATGGACCAAGTGGTCAAGGAGATCAATGAACACCTTGGCTTTCCTCAAAATGTGATTGCAAGCTCCATCGCTGAACATTAAAGTGATTTTAGTGTACAATCATGTAAACTCGTACCTAGACTTTTGTACTGTATTCTTCCTTAATTTTCCATCCCTGAACATTAAAGTATTTTTCAAGGTAGTGTAGTGCTATTTTTCGTTGGCTGAGCGTAGCGAATGAAACGAATAATGTATTTTTTGCCAGCATTTTCACCATAGTTACGGCACCAGGATTGCGTCAGCTGTTCTTTGTCAGTGTTCTCAAATCTTTCTCTTCATCGTGGTCTTTCTCTTTTCGTTGTAGTTTCCCACCCGCCCTCCCCTTTATCCTCACTTCTGGATAGGTCCTGCAGGCTACGTTTTGTTCATTTATCTTATGGGGATATTCTTACCGGTTTTTCCTCAGGGTTGTGCCTCCGCTGGGGTCCTGAGGTTTTTTCCGCCAGCTTCGGGCTGGTTAATTATCCCGCGGCCCCATTCACCACAGCGGTTCACTTTTTGCATCATGTTGGTCTGGTACATACGTGTACATGTATATGTGTGAGGTGGCATGCCCTTCTTCTTGCTCATGTATATACTACGCTAAGCTCTTCCACCATGAGTGAACAAAGACCACACTGCTACTGTGATCTGTATCTTTCTGTTGTGTGTGGGTTTATCTGCGGTGTACGCAGAGGCCAGCTAGATGGCAAAAACATTGTGTGTTGTTGCTAATGCTGTCTATGTCTCAGTGTGTGCCAGGATATGTGTAGCGAGAAATGTCGTGACACTTATCAGTTGAAAGTCGTCACTAAATTAGGAAACCAAAACAATCAATGTTATAACCAAAATGTTTAGGGAGTTTTTACATTCACAGTGACGATAAATCTTAACCGTCCACCTCTCCACGCTGCGCTCTTGGCCCTCATTCACAACACACTCCATAGCGAGGAAGTTCGTTCTTCAGTAGATGTTCTATTTCCTCCAGACAGCTGTTTCGCGTTTAAGAGCTCCTCAGTGGAGGTAGATTTGATTGTTTGATTTTATTTGGATTCTCGAGACCAAACGAGCAGGAGTGCTCAATAACAGGGTGGTGAATGGTTAAATTGTGCTATTTATTTATTTATTACACTCAACTCGTCGTTCATGACCAATTGGCACGCAAAGTGCGAGAGAGGGGTGATAGCCAACCACGGCAAGAAAAGAAAAGAAAGAAATATCGAAAAAGAGAAGAAAGGAGCTATGTGACAATGTAGTGTGTGCGTAGGGTGATGGTGGGGGGGGGGGAGCTGCGGAGGCCCAATACAATGTAAGGGGATGGGAGGAGAGAAGGCCAGCGGAGAATCGAATTCAGAAGAGGGAGGAGAGAATAGCTGAAGTTACTGTGCGAATTCAAATAAACCAAACAAACAGCAAAACAAGTACACAGCTCACGAGTATACTGAGGACTGGAGCACAGAATTGAACTGCTGAAGTACACAGCTTGAATCCATACAACCTGTACACATACCTTGTACACACTCTCTCTAACGGTCCGGCTCTAGGCTACACTGCAATTGATAATATACATTAGCTCAAATTTTCGGGCAAGGCCCATCATCAGGAATAAGTCTACTGTAGACAAAACAGGGGTTTATATATATGTGACAAGTACTAGTGGCCAAAGGTGTGATGGTATAGCGTAAAATATTGCAAAACCACAGGAAGCGAGATTATAATTCTGTGTGATATGTATGAAGTGAAAATATAGTGCAGTGATAGTGCAGAATTACTAGTGTGAGTACAAAGCAGAAAAATACACACTTCTAGCAACACTCACACACATACATACACATACACACACACACACACATAATATAATAATTATATAAATTTGACATCTTCACTAGTTTGAGGGAAAGAGACAAACGGGAAAAGTCTGAAGAAAAAATTGACTGTCACCACCAGGACTCGAACCAGGGACCCTCGCTTGTAGCTAGAGATGCTCTAACCACTGAGCTATGGTGTAGTCGTCATTCCAGCAGAGACTGTTCAACATTTTCTTCAGACTTCGTAACTCACACTTCCTGTGAATCCACACAGGCGGGTGGGACGCAGCCCTCACTGTACCCACACACGTCACGTACACTCTAGCACGCGGGGAGCCCCAAGTCATAACATCTTCACTAGTTTGAGGGAAAGAGACAAACGGGAAAAGTCTGAAGAAAAAATTGATTGTCACCACCAGGACTCGAACCAGGGACCCTCGCTTGTAGCTAGCGATGCTCTAACCACTGAGCTATGGTGTAGTCGTCATCCCAGCAGAGACTGTTCAACATTTTCTTCAGACTTCGTAACTCACACTTCCTGTGAATCCACACAGGCGGGTGGGACGCAGCCCTCACTGTACCCACACACTTCACGTACACTCTAGCACGCGGGGAGCCCCAAGTCATAACATCTTCACTAGTTTGAGGGAAAGAGACAAACGGGAAAAGTCTGAAGAAAAGATTGACTGTCACCACAATAAATTTGAGTTAATGCATATCAATTGCAATGTAGCCTAGAGACCGTTAGAGAGAGTGTGTACAAGGTGTGTGTACAGGATTTATGCCAATTATGGATTCAAGTATTGGCTACAGTGGAGTCTCCAAACCTTGAGAGAAGTACACAGCTGACGAGAATAAAGACAGGAGCACAGAAAGGAACGGGAGGCAGTCTACGAAGTGGTGTGGTGCATGCACCACGGTACATTACGGAGGATTAGCAAGACGAAATTCGCGTTCGCGTTCGCAAACATTTTTCAGTTCGCGAACTGGATTGCGAACTTTCGCATTTTTCGTTCGGAAAAGTAGTCGGAACACGAATCGTGGATTCGTGTCAGGGCAGTCATAAATTTACCACGCTGCACTGCCTACGTCGTGTCAACATCATGCATGTGCGA